TGTTAGAACCATGTTTGCCTCATAAAAGGAGTTTGTAGAATGTTTTCTTTCTTAGTTTTTGAGAATATAATTTGTGTAGCAGAGGTGTTAACAGCTTTTTAAACATTTGATAGAATTTATCTGTAAATCTGTCTGACTAGGGTGTTTTTCCTTTATAGTTTTTTTTTTTGAGATTCAATTAAGATCGATTTTTTTCAGGTTCAATTAATTTATATATTTTATATTTTACAGGCAATCGTCTTTTAAATTCTCAGTATTTCCGGCATTAAATTGTATATGTTTGGTTCTGCTAATACTTATTTCTTCTCTTTGTTGTGACATTTTGTAGTTCATTTTGAATTTTCATAATTTGATTTCTCCTCTTTTTTTTTAACTAGTTGGCTAAAGGTTTATCAATTTATTAGGTTTTTTTTGAAGGAGTGGCCTTTAGTTTTATAAATTCTATAGTCTTTTCACTTTCCATTTTTATCTATTTCTCCTCTAATATTAAACTTGTCCTCTTTTATTTTTTATTTTTTCTCATTTTAACATTACATCTTTTGTTCAATAACTCCTTCCTTTTCTATTTTGTTAATGTATGTTTTCAGAGATGTAACTGTTGCTGTAAGGTCAGATTTAGCTGGATCCCCGAAATTTTGATCTATTGTCTCATTTTTATAATTATTTTTCACATTATTATTGTTTCTATAATTTGTTGTATTAGTTTTGCATGTTTTGCTTGTATCTATATATGATTATTATTTTATTGTGATATTATTTGTAAAAGATATGTTTCATATTTCTGCTTTTTTACATTTAATTATAATTTTGTTCTAGCCTCTCTGTGCCATAGGGCATAGCCTAGAGTTTTTTGTTTTTTTGCAAAAGTATCATGTAGTGCTGAGAAATATGTATGTTCTTTAATGTTCCCATTTGGAAAAATGCCATAAAATTTTCTTCAGTCTTATTGTTTCCTTTTTGTTTATCATTCTGTCAGATTCATTTAGATCTGAGAGAGATGAATGATAATGTCTCCTATGATTGTTGTGTTACTATCTATGTCTTTTTGCAATTCATTTAACTTTTCCTTTACACATTTAAAGCTATGTCATTTGGTGCTTTTATGTTCAGTATTGATGTTGGTTCATTGTCTATGTTTTCTTTAAGTGTAATGTAGTTTCCCTATTTATTTCTTCTGATAATAGCATATTGACAGGAACTGGGTCTTTGATTTTATGGCATAGGAAACTCCTCAGTGGGGAAATTTCATCTGTTGAAACAGGTTGGCACCTTCTCTTCAACTTGTAGCTTTAAAGAGTTGCCTAGAACACTAAGGGGTTAAGTGACTTACCTAGGAATACATAGTATGTATCAGAGATAGGACTTGAACCCAGCTCTTCTTGGCTCCAAGGCTGGGGTCTCTTTTGACCACACCAGCTCCCTCTAATATGAATTTTTCTTTTTACATTATCTGATAGCATGATTCCAAGTCCTGTTTGTTTGTTTGTTTGTTTAAGTTCACCATATGTATAATAAATTTTGTTCCAGTCTCTTACTTTCAGGTGCTATTTTTTAGATGTGTTCTTTTTTCAGCTGTGATTTCAAGTCAGAAAGACCTAGGTTTGAATCCTTCACTACTACCAGCTATATGACACTAGGCAAGGCACTTATATCTCTGGACCTCAGTTTCCTCATCTGTAAAATGAGTAGAATAATAGAACCCACATCACAGGTTGCTGTAAGGATTAAATTAGATAATGTGCATAAAATGCTTTGCAAAATCTTAAAGTACTCTCTATCTGTGTCAGCTATTTTGAGTGTCAAGTCAGCTAACTTCACAACCTTGGACAGTCTGTTAGCTGTTCCTGGTACCTGTCAAGATACTTTTGCCCAGAACTTAGGAAAAGGGGAAATAGGTCCTGGCTCATGATTTGTGAAGGGTAAACTCAGGAAAGAAGCTTTTGTTTCACAGCCACAAACGCCCAGGGAGGGGGTGGTGGTGGGTGGTGAGTGGTGGGGGCACAGAGTAGAAATCAGTTGACCTCATTCTTAACCCTCTTCCTCTCCTCCAGCGACATGGGTACTAGAAGATAGCTAGTCATAAGAGTCTACCTCCCCCGGGCCCCCAAAGTTCTTTGTAGCTTCTCCTTAAAGGAGGGGCTGAGAAGTTGACACCAGTGTGGCTGGCTTCATTCTCTTGTGTAAAGCCTGAGAACTCTTGCTGTTGGGTCAAGCCATCTTTTCAAGCAGGAAAGCCCCCAGTAGCGGGTTTCAGTGGAAAGAGCAATCCTTTCTGCAATCAAAGAATGCAGGGCTCAAATCACACCTCTGGCCCTTTCTCCCAATATGACCTGCCCAAAGTCACACTTTACTTCCTTGGGCCTCAGTTTCCCCATCTGTGGAATGAACCTCAGTGAAGACATTGACCAGTGATGGAACTAAGGTGCCTGTGAATCTAATGAAGTCAAATAGAGTATCAGCACTGAAATTAAACATATTAATTTCATCTTAATAATTACTACTAAATTAGAAATTCACTAATCAATCTTCCTTGGGGATGAAGGGGACAATAGCTCTGTGTGTGTACTTACTTCACCAAGGAAAAAGAGAGAGAGAGAGAGAGAGAGAGAGAGAGAGAGAGAGAGAGAGAGAGAGAGAGAGAGAGAACGAGAACATAATGGGTCCCTCTTCTTTTGAAAAGGTCATGTTTCATAATAGCTACTGGCATTTATTTATTAGCCCTTTAAGGTTTGCAAAGTGCTTTACAAATATTTTCTCATTTGGTCCTCTTAACAATCCTCATAGGCATCATAATAGGTGCTATTATTATTCCTATTTTACAGATGAGGAAACTAACACAGGCAGAATTTAAGAGACTTGCTCAGCATCTCACAGCTAGTAGGTGTCTGAAGCAGGATTTGAACTCAGGTATACCCTGGCTCCAAGTCTAGCTCTCTGGCTGCCATTAGAGCTGGAAAAGGCCATCTAGTCAATCTCCCTCATTTTACAAACAAGGAAACGGAAGCCTAGAGACATGGGATCACACATCTGGGAAGTGTCAGATTGGGGATTTGAACCCTTGTCTTCTTGACTCCCAGTCCAGAACCCTATCCGCCATCTAGGGTGGGGAACCTGCGACCTCGAGGTCATATGTAGCCTTCTAGGTCCTCAAGGGCAACCCTTTGACTAAATCCAAATTTCACAGAACAAATGCCAAGCCACATGTGACTTCAAGGCTGCAGGTTCCCGACCCCTTCTACCAAGCTGCCTCTCATGACTCGACTCTACATTTTTGCCATCTACCAATGGGTTAAGAACGGAGGAATGCAAAATTTTCCAATCCCTCACATACCCTAAAATACTCATAGGCTCAAGTAGCCCACACGTTCCTTCATCAGCTGGCAGTACTCCAACCCCTTGAGGGCAGGACAAGAGTGTATCAATTATGTGCCCCAAGAAAGAAGATGCAGACTAGAGATCACGATCTGTATATTTTACACTAAGATGGCAGTGCCTCACCTACACTCGGTGCTTAAATCTGTTGCATTGGAAAAAACCTTTTGTTTTCCTTCCTGAAATCATCAATAATTCAGATAGAAGGCAGTAGCAGTTTTTGTTTGGTTTTGTTTTTTGTTTTCGTTGTTGCTATCATTCTTTCCTGGGCTCCCTACATGACGTCTTTACTCTTTTCTTTCCTTGGGATATATTTTCAAGATTATGACTTTTAGAGACCCCCAAACCGGGTGCCACTGGAGGCATTTTGGCTGTAAGAGTCCTTTAAGTGGAAAGACAAATCAGACAAGTCAGAGGCTGAACACCATTTCACCAAAACAAATACCAGTCTGTGTCTGTTCCTCCCCAGGTGCTATGCCTCTCTCCTCTCCATTGTCCTGTATGTATTTAGATATGTACATGTTGTCTCCCTAACAGGGACTGTTTCATGTTTGTACTTTTTTTTTTAAGGCAATTGGGGTTAAGTGACTTGCCCAGGGTCACACAGCTAGTTAAGGTGTCAAGTGGTTGGTCCGAGGCAGGATTTGAACTCAGGTCCTCCTGACTCCAGGGCCAGTGCTCTATCCACTGCACCACCTAGCTGCCCCCATGTTTGTATTTTTGTATCCCTACAGTGCCTGGTACACAGTAGGTGCTTAAAAAATGCTCGTTGCTCCAACAGACTGTTGGACAGACTGTTAATTCATAGCGAGGTTTGCTGAACGGGTTTTCCCTCTCTGTCTTTTTTATGCTTTGTGACCAAGGGTGGCTTGGTGGGGAAAAGAGAGGGGAAGGATAAATAGTAAAATCTTGATAAAAATGGATAAAATCAAAAGGTAACAATAAAATATTTAAAATCCCAGTTCACAGGCATTTTGATTGTTCAAGGAGGTTGTCAGAGCAGAAGATCTAGGAGTCCAGGGAAACTGATGGCTCTTTCTTGTATGTGCAATGTGGCACAATGGAAGGACAGTGATTCTGTGGTCAGAGGGGCCTGGGTTCATATCCTGCCTCTGATACTTACTATCTGTGTAACCTTGGGCAAACCCTCTCACTTCCCTGGGCCTCAGTTTCCTTTTCTGTAAAAAAAAGAGGGTCACACTAGATGACCTCTGAGGTCCCTTCTAGCTGTCTATCTATGACTCAGTGGGGTTACCTTGAGGAACACACATATACAAACACTCATGTAATGATTGCTGGATTCTGGAAGCTACATCAGGACAGAGGTAGCCATTCCATTCGTGCTTCCCTCCCTAGAACCCTCATTCTCCATTCAGTTCTGTTCCCAAGATTGAGCATCACCCACCAGCCCTTGAAAGTTTCCTCCTGTCCCCAGAGCGATGGTTTCTGAGCTCAGGACCTTTCACATATGCTGCATTTAGCGTTCATTAAATATTTGAAGGATCTGCTATTGTGTCCTGGGAAGAATTTGAACCCCTGACTTCCTGGTTCCAAGCCCAGTACACCACACTGCCTCAATCAAACATTTACTGCATAATTATCAGCAAGAGGGACAATGGGGGACTTACCTCGGACACCTGCAGACTCGCCTTCGTGACCCTTTTAAAAAAAATCAGACAATTAAAAAACAACAGGTAAGAAACGTGACATCTATCTTTTGGACTACTTGGGAGCAGGATATATATTTTGTCTTTCTTTGTATCTCTCGAGCTTAGTACAATGCTGGGGACCACAGCAGCCACTTTGATCTTTGTGGGCTAACTGCTCATTTGAAAGTGTTCTCCCATTAAGCTCGTGGCCTGCAGTAAGAACAGGGCAGCACAGAGTCTCTTGTCTGTCTGTCTGCCTGTCTTCCCAGGCGGACCACCCATTACTCCCTCACCCACTCCACACTCCAGCCATATCAGCCCAGTTGCTCATTTAGCCCAGGTTCCTCAATCTCCTGACTGCCCATTCCTGGAATAGCCTTTCTCCTCATTCCTGACTCTTGGGATCTTTCATTCCCTTTAAGGTTCTGTTCAGGGGCTGCCTTCAAGGGCCTTTTCCTGATTCCTGTAGGTGTTGACCCCACCCCAATCACTTGCATTTATTCTGTGAACCCGTTATGTCTCCCCCAGTGCTCCTTGTTTCTGTATCCCCAGGACTGAGCACCTAGGGACAGAGGCGAGATCATGTAAGAAACTCTCAGGTGAAGAAAATCCCCCTCCCAGTACAGATCACCACGTCTCTGCAGTTTAGCCTCAGAGAGTTGCCTGGGAATAAGGAGAGTTTAAGTAACTTGGCCAGGATGGGCCAGAATATAAACCCACGTGTTCCTGGCTCTAAGGCTAGCTCTCAATCTGTGTTGTAATATGGCAGATGCTTGATTGATAGAGGCTGAGGCAGGATCTACTAGGACAGGTCATCTCTAAACTGGTGATTTTTAGGGTTTCAGGAACACTCCAAGGCCAAATAAAGCCTTCCCTCCCAATGCCAGTCCTGGGGCTTTCTATAGCTGGGCTCTAGGCAAAAGCCTGTACTAGAAAGAGCCATGGTTTGGGGATCAGAAGACTTGGGTTTAAATCTTAGCACCCACTAGCTGCTTACCATTGGGTAATAATGCAGCAGGGAGCATTATGGATCAAAAGGAACTATTTGGGGGATGGAGTAAGGGAGTCTTATCTACCCTTCTAGAGTTTGAGGGATCAGGCAGTTACTCTGGGAGAGGGGGATCCGTCCTGGGGGTGGATGGATGGGTATGGGAAGAAAGGTTGCCTCTTACTCTGGCAGATGATAATGGTAGTGATCAGGGTCAGAAGCAAGACAACACAGACACCAGCCAGGGGCATCCAGATGTACAGGTCACAGGAGAAATCCAATCCCTTCTTTTCTGTACACACAAAACAGAGGGAAACTCAATGAGGCATGCTGGGTCCTGAGCTTCCTAATCACGCCAGGAAGCTGGTGTCGGCAGAAGATTTTGGAAGGCACCGCCAGAATGAAGATGAAATCCAGGAGGCCACGCAGGAATTCCCCCTTAGTCCTAGGGGACCCAGACTCAGTCCCCAGCCTGTCTGGCTCTCTGGGAATGCTGCCAGCTGAATCTGTCTTATCATGTGTTATCTGGCCCAAGATGCCCTTCTCCCAGAATTTAGAAAAGGACCAATAAGTCCTTCTAAAGCAACTCTGTTCCTCAGTAGTGGTGGAAGGGGGCAGGACACACTTCTCTCTTCCCAGTGAGAGCTACTTATTCTCGATTCTATAGACCTTGCAATGCCCACACAATAAAGTATCAACTCCTGGTCTTGACATTCAAGGCCTTCCACCCCCTGACTCCAAATGATCCGTTCAGCCTTATCTCACACTCTAGTCCCCTCTAGATTCTACCCACCCGGCCTCGTGTTGTGCTCTCCCCGACCTGGGAGGGGAGAGGGTAGGAGTCATATCCTCACCTTGGGGGCGGGGGTTGGTCTTGCAATTGTCAGAACTTGCCGGAATCTGTTTGAAAGAGCTGGTGGTGGCCGGGAGAGTGGTGGTCTTGGGCTTGGGTGCAGGGGTGGTGGTAGCCTTTACTGGGCAGAGATAAAAGGGAGGAAAGTGAATCAAGTTGGTCTGTATAGCTTCCTGCCTCTTAATTTTTCCTCATCCTTTAAAAGTAACAAATTATTCTCTCTCTGATCTTTATGCCCAGGCAAGAAACACTCTCCCTCTATTCTCAGTTGAATACAGAGATACAGTGCAGTGGGCATCTATTACCCTTCTGCAGAGCCAAACAGTCCCATGTCCTGCTCAGGGGTCCCTGTAAGCTCCCTAACACTCTCCCCAGGCTAGGAGCAAAGGAAGCATTAGCACAATTTCATCAGTGAGTGGAGAACATTTCTGCCTGTGGCCGTCCAGTCCGCACTATCCATTCAACAGAAGAAACGGAGTCGATTCTTGCAGTTTTCAGTTGACAGGTTAGTACTGTCTAGGGATGGAGCAGGACATCTGTGGTCCTATAGGTACAGAAGTTGATTTTTTGGTCTTTTTTCTACGTATGGGTTAGCCATATAGCAGTTCTTATCCACATATCTGTTCTTGCGTGTTTAAAGACCCATGGACAGAATAGCATGCTCTAGGAGCAAGGAGATCCTTGGGTGGATTTTGGGTCAGTAGTCTTGGCTTCTAATCTGGATCCTGCTGTGAGCAAGCTGTTGGACCTCTCTGGGTGTCAGTCTTCCTCTCTGAAGCACTCTCTGAGGGTGGAGATGATGGAAAAAACACTCTGAGGCTTTGAGTCAGAAGCCCTGAGTTTTAGCCCTGTTCCTAGCTAGCTTTGGCGTGTGACCCTTGGAAAATCACAAAGCCGCAGTTTCCTTCTCTCTAAAATGGGGCTGACACCTGCAGTCCTTAACCTCAGCTGGTTATTGTAAGGCTCACATGAAATAATACACAAAAAAGTGCTGTCAGAACTTTAAAGTACTTAGATGGATGTGAGCTCGTTAATTTAGAACTTTGGCTTCAGTGATGTTGATTATTACCCAACCCTTGCCTCCCCATCCTAAGCCACTCCTGTCCTGGTCCTCTGTTAAGTTTGCCGTGGGGGCTCCACTATACATACTTTCTCTTTATGTGGGAAGGGCACCAGGTCCAAACTTGAAAGGGCCATCCGAATGTCAGGTATTTATCATTATTGGAGTTGTTATATAACTTTTTGTACAGTGTGTGTATGGGGTCTGTCTGGGTCCCCTTCAATTCTGGGGGGGAAGGGGGATCAGGAGATCCTGTGACACTGAGGAAGTTTGGTCTGCTGATGACCTCTAAGAATAATAGTGCGCATTCATTTAGGGTTCCAACGCTTGCACAATCCTTTACATGCATTAAAGGTTCATAGATGTACAGGTAGAAGGGACCTTAGACGCCCTCACTTCACAGGTGAGGAAAGTGAAGCCCAGAGAGGGTGACTTCTCTTGATCTCTGTCAACCCTCGGTGCCCAAGATGCTTAGAGTCACCCAGCCCCAAACACTCTCCTCTAGTGCCTTGGTTTCCTGGGGGCAGGGTTACCCACTGGAATTCTAGGAAAAAGGGAACCGTGCCGGGGAGGCTGCCCTGCATCCAGATCCTATGGGAGCCTCGGTGGGGCCCGGGACAGCTTCTGCCTCTACTCCATCCGCGCCCACGCCCCGGGGGGGAGGTAGGGACAGCCGGGCAGTCACCCAGCGAGGGTGACCAGGCCCTGACCTGGCAGGAAAACAGGCACGAAGGGGCTGAAAGACATCGCCGAGTTGCGGGTGACCACGCAGTAGTAGTGGCCCTGGTCCTCGGCTCTGAAGTTATTCAGGGTCAGGCGGTACATCGACGGCGAGGTCCTTTCACCACGGAATCGTTTGGGGTCCAGGCCGTCCGCCAGCTTCACGCTTGGGGTGCTGCCCGAGATGAAGAGTAGAAAGGTGGGGACCAGGGCTCCGGGGGCCAGGCGGAGCCACGAGCATCCCGTGAGCGAAGTGCCCAGCGTCTCGCACTGCAGCTGCACCTTCTCAGATGGCCGGACGTCCCGCTTTTCCAGGGGATTCATCCGGAATCTCAGCTGCGCCTGGGACCCGACGGGCTCTGGGAAAGAGAGAGCAAGAGTCACGGGTAGAAAGGCTAGGGCCACCTGGTCCTCTGTCCGGATCTCCGCACAGGTGCACAGCAGTCCCAGCTGCACCCTACCTCTCCAGGGTGTGCCCTCAGGGCTCCGCAAACCCGGAATCCCTCCCTCCCCTCCACCTCCGGGCATTGGCCTGGATGCTTTGGGAGGGATCCCTGCCCAGGTCACAAATTCTGGACTCGTTGTGGTTACTCACGGAGCAGCAGGGCCAGAGGCAGGAACAGGGATCGTACAGCGAAGGGGGAGCCCATCCCTGGCTCCCTTGCTACTTCCCGCCGGGCCAGAGGGCCAGCGAACAGTCTCACTCGAGCCAGAAAGCTGGGCAGCTCCAGGTAAGAGGAGGGGGGCCCCGGCTGGGTGAAGGGTAGGGAAGCTTCTCTGTCTTGCCCCGTGGAGACCGGAGAATGTGATGTCACTTGACACCCTACAAAAAAAAAATCACCCTCCCTGAGGCTGGCCACCTCCCACCAGCAAGTGGTGAACTGAGGGAGGTAAGGGTAAAGCATAGCAGAGAAGGTTGCAGATGGGACTGAGCTGTGAAAGTCCTTCCAAAACATCCACTGGGTCCAGCCTGGAGCCTAGGACATCCTTCATGGCCAGCAGGAGAAACGGGCAAATGGGTGGCTTGTGATGTATGTGCAGAAAGGGCTTGGAAAGGCCTAGCATTAATTTGTCAGCGGACTTGACAGAGAGAAAGGAAGAGAGGAGATGATTCAATTCATTTCAACCAACATTTGTTAAAAGTCAACTCTACCCAAAGCATGGCATCCTGGAGGGTAGGTTGGGGTGGACCAGGAGCAGAGGCATAGTCCCATCTGCAGGGGCCTTCCTTACAAAGTCTCCTAGGGGAAGAAGGGAGAGGATGAGAGAGATTAAAGTATGCAATGGTACCATTGACTAGTAACATTGGATCAGAGCAGTGGTTTTTAACTTGGGGTCCATGGGTAGATTTCAGGACTTCATGACTTTGTGGGAGGGGGGAAGTAACTTCTCAATTTTCACTACCTCTAATATCTCCTTCAGTTATAAAGGTAAGCAGCAGCCATAATTATGAGAAGAGTTTCATGGACTTCACCAGGCTCCCCAAGAAGCCAATGACACAGAAAAGGTTCAGAAACCCTATTCTAGAAGATAATTGATTTAGAGATGGAAGAGGAGCCTTGAAGGCCTAGTCCGGCTCCCCTTATTTTAAAGAGGAGGAACAGAGGCCCAGGGGTTAAGTGATTTGCTTGGTCACAGAGTTAGTAAGGGTCAGATCCTCTGACTCACAATATAGTCTTTCCACTGCTCTATATTGCTTCAGAGGTTAGATGAAATCTCACTAATATTTTGGAGGTACCTACTATGTGCAATGGGTCAGAGTTTCAGCCTCCACTCCTAGTTTAGGGTTTAGATCTTTATGTCTTTCTTTCTATAAAAGAGGTATAGGGATGGAATGACCAGTACTTACTATGACTGTTCTCAAGGACTCTGTAAGGACTTGACTGACTGAGAGAGCATATATTAAACTATTGCCATGTGCCAGACCGTGCCCTTGCCTTTAGAAATATAAGTAGAAAAAGGAAGACAGTCCCCATTCTCAAGGAGCTACTTTTAATGGGGGAGACAAGACATTTAGGAGGTTTTATTTGCAAGTCAAGTGGAGAGATCACACAGTCCTTTGGGCGATGATGCATCTCCACGAATGTCATTTCTTTTTTTTTCTCTTTTTTTTTCTTTTGTGAGGCAATTGGGGTTAAGTGACTTGCCCAGAGTCACACAGCTAGTAAGTGTTATGTGTCTGAGGCTGGATTTGTACTCAGGTACTCCTGACTTCAGGGCCAGTGCTCCATCCACTGCACCACCTAGCTGCCCCCCACGAATGTCATTTCCATGGATAAAACCATATCCATTTCTGATTTTGAGCCATTTGACATTGCCAAGGATTTTGCTGGCGAGAACTTTCTTCTCTGGGTCTTCAGTAGCTGTGACTTCAGATAAAATACTTGTCTGTCTTGGAGAACAAAGTTCAAAAGTCAATTGATGTGTGTGTGTGTGTGTGTGTGTGTGTGTGTGTGTGTGTGTGTGTGTGTGTGTAGATCTGTAAAGCCTGGGGATGTTTTCTGTTGGGTCTAAGAGCCCTCATTCAGGCAGGAATAAAAGGGGAAGAGAAACACTTTTGCCAGAGCTCTTAGTTAGAATCATGAGATCATCAGATTTAATATTAGAATGGGCTTTCCCCAAAAAGGAACCTTTTGCTCCAGCTGCGGTGATCTTGATCTCTTTACCTTGAGCACAAGATATACTTTTCTGGTTCCGGGTCTCTGCTCTTTTGGGCCATCTCCTCCTGTCCAAATCCTTCTCCTTCGAGGTTTAGCCAAAATGCCACCTGTTAGAGGAAGTCTTCCCCGACTTCTCCAGTCCACTTTGGTTTGATCTTTCTCTTTTCTGAACTCTGATGGGTAATGAATGTTAGTTCATTCATTTCAACCAACATTTATTAAAAGTCAACTCTACCCAAAGCATGGCATCCTGGAGGGTAGGCTGGGGTGGACCAGGAGTAGAGGCACAGTCCCATGTGGTTCTGCTCACTTCACTTTGTGTCAATTCGTGTAACTCTTTGCTGTTGGAGTTTCTTGAGCAGGGAAGTCATGCCTATGCTTTAGGAATATAGCAGTTTACTTGCAGTTTAAAGGAGGATTGGAGAGGGGAGAGCCTTGAAGCAAAAGAGTCCAGTTAGGAGGCTATTGCCATAGTCCAAGAGAACGGTGATGATCTAGAGGGGTTAGGGTATGGGTGATGTCAGCAGTTTTAGCAGCGGTACTAACCAGTGACAAAGTTGTTGGGTTTCACATTCTTCTAGTAGTGTGTTTATAGGATTTAGAGCTGGAAAGAACCTGGTCCACCATCAAATCCAATCCTCTTATTTTACAGATGAGGAAATCAAGGCCCAGAGGGATTAAGTGCCCAAGGACACAAAGGCAGTAATTAACAGAACCAGGTTTAGAACCCAGCTCCTCTGACTCAAAATCCAGGATTTTTTTCCTACTCTGCTTGGCTGCCTTCAAAGGAATAACAATAGCTCACATTTACATAGCACATTAAGTTTTATAGAGCATTGTGCATACATTACCTCACTTGATCCTCACAGTAACTCTGGGACATAGGTGCTATTATTATCCCCATTTTAAAGATGAGGAAACTGAGGCAGAAAGAGATTAAGTGATTTGCCCAGGGCCACACAGCTACTAAGTCTCTGAGGCAGGATTGGAGTTCAAGTCTTCTTGGCTCTCTATTCACGACACTCTCTGGCTGCCTCTTTTAGGACTAAGGAACCAAGCGACACCAGGGGTCATTGATCGTCAGTGGGCCCACAAGTGAATTGGATCAGTCTCTCCTCTGGGGGATGTGGCTGTATCAAACCTGCCAATGAAATCTATAAGCTGCATGGAGTTGAGCAATTGGGATTCAGGGTGAACCAGGAAAATAATTTACCCAAGATTAACAGTAGTGTAAAGAAGGGAAACTCTGTAATTGTAATGATCGTCATTGACCCTGGAGCCCCAAGGAGGAAACACACCTCTCTCCTTTTGGTGGAAAGGGGAGGATTTGGGGATGACATTTGGTATGCGATGTTGGACTAGCTCCCTTGTTGGCTGGCTTCATAAAATTGTTTTTCTCTGTTAGAAGAGAGGGATTATAGCGTTGGTGGGTGGTGGGGTGGTAGATGAAGAAATGACTATGAAATAAAAACAGAAAGCAATAGTATGGCTTGGTTTTGGATAAAATCTGCGGGTTTGGTTTTTTTTTTATTATTGGTGTGGATAGTCTCAATCTGGAAATTCCCTCTACCAAATGAAAATCTCATACTGTCCTATAACATATAGGCTTAGAAAATTGCCTGAGACCCTAAGGAGATAGTCTATAGTCATGGGGTCATCAATTTAGTGGCAATCAGGTCCACTGCCTTCATTTAACAGCTCAGGAAACTGAAGTACAGAGAAGACAAGTGACTTGCCCAGGGTAATACAACTAAGAAGCACTTGAGGCCAGATTTGAACCCAGGTCTTTCTGACTCCAAATCCAGCACTGTACCCACTATCCCATACTATCTCTCTCTTATCTTCAACACTCCCTTGCATTTCTTCAAAATAATAAATAATTGAACTTACTTTTTAAAAAAATATCAAGCGTCTTTATGATACCTAGGGGTGAGAGATGGGGAGGGGATGGTAATACACTATGAAAAAGTAGACATCCAAGTTTCAGCCTCCAGGAAACCAGCTGCAGCTGGCTAGGGTTTCTTCCATCCTTTGAGTTCAGAAAGACAGTCGGAGCCCGGGCAGGCCCTTTGTACTGAGCTACAGTGAGGGGGCACAATTCGAAGGGTGGGTGTCAAACCCACCCAGGTGGTTTCATGACCCCAATGATATTTGTGCAGATCTCAGTGGGGTTTCAAGAAAACCACAGTGACTTCCTCCCTGCAAGAAGCATGCAGACGCTGTGGAGTTGTGCATGGGCACCCTGACACAGTGCAGACCAAGATGTGGACGTAGCTAAGTCTTTCAGTTCCCAAGTCAGATGAGCTCACAAGACCCAGATATGTCCACAGACACAATACGGTGGGGAAACCAAACCCAACCCAATTGCATTTAGGCAGACTGGTGGCTTGGATAACAGGTCAACATAGAGAATCACAGAACCTCAGAGTTGGAAGGGTTTTCAGGTAGTCTAAGGCCTCATGGGGCACTGGAAACCATTTGGTGTCTACAGTTTGTAGGACCTGGCTTCTAATCTCAGCTCTGTGGTCTTGGACAGTCTATCTAACCTCAATGTGTCTCACTTTTTTAAAAAGAAGTTGGACTCAATCAATCAACAAATCTACATTCAGTGCCTTTTATATGCCAGGCACCATATCAAGTGATTTGGATGCAAAGATGAAAAAGAAACTGTCCCCTGCCATCAAAGAGCTTATATTCTATTGAGGGAGACAACAAGTATCATAACTGTGAAAAATATATCAAGATAAACAGATAAATATAAGGTAATGGTGGTGGTGGTGGTGGTGGGTGCTAAGTAGCTGGAGGGATAAGAAGAGGGCTCGTGTAGAAGGCTCCATGACCTCTAAGGACCTGTTAGCTCTGAATCTATGATCCTATGCCTTCAAAGATCATCTTTAATTCTAGACTCCATGATTCTTCATCTAGGTCATGCTCTAGGCTGAGAATTCCCTCTACTACACCCCTAACAAGTAGCTAGCCAGCCTCAGCTTAAAGATGTCCAGAAATGGGACCCCTACAGCTTTCTGATGTGGACAATTTTGGACAATTCTCTTTGTTTACAGGGGTGGCAGTTGAGAGAGCTCCTTACTACAAGCTAAAATCTGCCGCTTTGTAATTTCTACCCACTTTTCCTAGTTATTAGCTCTGGGGCCAAGCAGAAAAAAAGCTAATCCTTCCTTTCACATGCCAGTCCTTCAAATACTTGCAGACAAAATTCTTTGCTATAAGGGATGATTCTCTGGAAGGGAGGAGAAAGTGGTAAACAAGGAGAAAATTAGCTGGTATAAAAACAAAAGACAATAATAAAATTTAATTTAAAAAATACTAGAAGACAGATATCATTCTCCCACTCTTCTCCACCCTACCCCCCAACCAAAGTGTTCTCTGGGTTAATATCCCCTTTTCCTTTAATCAATTCCCATATAATATGATCCCAGGCAAATTCAATTCAATAAATGTTTACTAAACAGCTATGACATGAGAAGAACCTCACTAGTCCCAAGAAAAGAGAACAGAGTTTAACTAATATTGGGTTTCTGTTCTCAGAGGATTAATAGTCTAGTAGGAAA